GAGTTCAGGGACAGAAGGCTCGGAAGGCCTCAGTCACCTTGGGGCATCTCAGGGTCAAGGCACAGAGCCGCGCTTGAGGAGCAGTGTTGTAGCCATTGGCCCTGAGGACAGCGTTCACTGGCTCCAGTTTACTCTGCTTAAGAAGGCAGGGTGGGCGAGCTCGTCCTCCGCCCACGGAATGGGGAGCAATGGCAGAGGCTTGGGTGCCGAGACAGAAGCCGCCTTGCCCGGCTGGTCCCCCACCTTCCATCCGAAACAACTCACCCACACGGGCGGCCGGCGTTCACCTGCGTTTTCAGGGCGTCTGGCTGGTGAAGACTCTTGGGTCGTGACTTCTACGTGGTTCCTGTCAGGAAAGGGGAGGACAGAGGGGCAGTTCTCGTCCTTCTTCTGATCTGGGCTGAAACGCGGTTCCCCTTCAGAGCATCTCAGCCTCCAGGGGGCATTTCCGGGTTCGATGTCCCGAGGGGATCCTGTTGAAAGTGTCGCTATGGAAGCCCGAGATTTTGTGTCCGTTTTATTCTTTCATTCATTCGTTCCGCAGCGTTTACTGAGCACCTACTGTGTGTCAGGCCCTATGCGCTGCAGCTGAGTCACTTTCTCACCACCTGGTCCCTGCTGCTGGCCTTCCACTCACATGGGGACCCCCCCAGGTAGCAGGGTCCCTGACATAGCAGAGGAATCCAGAATTAGAATAGTGTGTGCTGACTGAACCAAAGCCACAACGTTCACGGGAGCCAGCTCCGAAATGTATACTTTATATGTAATAATACTTCATAATAAAATACATATGATATAATTATATTATACACGCAGCTGGTTCCCACTTCCGGCATGTCCCCTTTATGGCCCCTGTGCTCACCTCCTCCTCACCCTGTTGTCCCCTCCGCCTGTGCTGAAATACATTTTGACTCGTCTTGACCTGGGTCTGGACTGTGGCCAAGCTGCCTGAGATTGACCTTCTGGCTCTGTGCTGTCCTCCCATCCCCTCCAGCTCCCGATTTCTACCTCTTCACCCAAGGTCAGGGCGCCTCCACCCCCGTCCGCTGCTAGCCATTCCAGAAATAGAAGCCTTATCTCTTCTCTGTTCCTGTCAGCTGGCCAGCGTGAACAATCTCTGAATTCATTATGCCGTCATGAAGAAAAGGGCAGTGAGAATCTGGGGTCTCCTCTCCCAGCGAAGGAGGGAGCCTGAGACCCTGAGGGGCCAGGGGTCCTACCACAGCCCTGCCCCGCAGGGCTTGGGCTGACCCAGGTGCTTGGCCCAGCAAGTGAGGTTCAAAGGAATCCTCAGCTCACCCAGGCGGCGAGGCTGCGCCCGCACCCTCACAGCGTCTCATCCTTGCCATTTTTCCCCCACACAGAATGTGACGGTGGCCACGTCCCCTCCCCATGCTGTGTGATTAAATCCGGGGGGTGGGGGATCCACTTTCGGGTATTCCTTCCTCTTGCCGCCCCTAAAGACGAGACCCCTCCCTTCTGCCCCCCTCTCCGCCCCGCTCCTTTTCACTCTCTCTTTGAAATCAGAGTAAATATCGACAGTGTTTTCACTTCGCCTGGATACTCCTCTCCTCAAGGTTGCTCACTCAGCTCTGTCTCTTTCACCGTTTCCCCGTGGGCTTCCTGTGGGGGTGTGGGGGGGACAAAAAGAATACACGAATACTGCCTGCTTCTAGCGCTGCATCCGTCACCATGAGGTGAGGAAGGAGGTCCAGGGTCCTTAGCGGGGCGTGGAGAGATGGGATGGGAAGGGGGTCCGCAGAGCGGCTGCTAGTTCTTGGCCCAGACCACACACTCGGGAGCTAAGCAGCCATGAAGGTAAGCTAGCTGCAGCCCACGTGCCTCGTGCGCGAAGGCGGGGTTCAGGCAGCCCTCCCTCGCCATGACTGGTTTGCTTGGGGTTGTTACTCAAATGACTCCGTGCCTATTTGCTTCAGAGACTGTGTTCTCTGAGCCCAGCGACTTGGAGGTCAGCTGAGGAGGTCTAGCAGTGGACAGAGGGACGGGAACCTCTGAAGGGGAGTGCTTTGGTCCCCGTCTCCAGTTCTGGTGTCTGCTCATCTTCTTTTCATTTTAATGGAAATTTTTATTGAGCTCGTTATAGATTAACACGCAGTTGTAAGAGCCTCACAGCCAGGGTGTGGACATCGGTAGGATCTCCCGGTTCTATTCATAGTTGTCGTCTGTGCGTGTGTGTGCTGAGTTTGACACAACGTTGTCACCTCGGTAGGTTTATGTGTCCACCTCCATCACCACACCCTTTTACAACCCCACCCCCACCCCGTCCCTAACCTTTGGTGACCATTTATCTGTGCGCCATTTATAAAACGTTTTCGTTTCGAAAATGCTGTATCGATGGACCCGTGACGGTAGGTGGCCTTCGGAGACTGACTTCTTCCATTCCGCGTAATTCCTGGAGCTTCATCCAAGTTGCGTATCAGTCGGTTCTTCCTTCTCGCTGTTGCAGATGGTTAAACATCGTGTGTTTAACCGGCCCCCTGCTGGGGCCCATCTGGATGATCCCACTTCGGGGTGCTTGTAAATAAAGCAGCTGTGAACAGACAGGTTTTCGTGTGAACCCAAGTTTTCATTTCTCTGGGATAAACGCCTGAGACTGCAATTGCCCGTGGTCTCGTTTGGCTTTTCCATCTCTCGCTCATCTTCCTCCTCCTGCCTCTCCAGGGGCAAGAGATGCCAGTACTCTTGGCCAAAGGGCACCCGCCAGCTAGGCAGCTGGGAAGTGCCCGATCGTGAAGGGCTTGCAGGGGACTGACAGACACTTGAGCTCAGACTGTACCTGGACTGTAGGCAGGATCCTCCATCCAGACCTGTCCTCCAACCCTGAAAGCTCCACCTGATGAAAATGCAACTTCCTGGGGTTTGGCTCATCAGCTTTAGAAACTTGCTGACAGGAGCCGAAACCCAGGGAGGAGGAGAGCGATGCTGTGGAAGCAGCATTTAGCCTGGAGGCCGGCCGGCCGGAGCCGTGTCTTGCCCACCGCCTTGCCCTGGGTCAGCCATCTCCCTTCATGTCCTCCATCCTGTGTCTTGAAAAGGGTCTGGGTGATCTCGAAGGTCTCTTTCAACTCTCATGCTGAATTTATGGCCACAGAAGAGAGGGAACCTGACCGGCCCACACGAGGACGGAGCCCACTGCGCTGGCTTTGTGGACGTAGATTTCTGACCGATGCTGTGAGACCATCTTACTTCCTGGGCCATCATGAGCCTCGCTTGAGCACCTGCTCGGTGTAAAGCTCTGTGCCGGGTGTGAAGATGAAAATATGCATAAGCCACCTACTCTGGCCCTCGGGGGCTCAAAGCCAAGCCAGGGAGCCTCCCCGAATTTCATATGCTGGGGCTGGTTCTGTAAACACACTGTAAACCTCTTTATCCTGTGTGGGAAATGATTAAACGATACAGTACATTTGATATGACAATCTGTTGCTTTAATAGAGCCCAGGGTAAGATAAGATTAAAAGAAGTGCCACAAAGGAGAACAGGAGAATCTTTCATCCCTAGAAAGTAATGAAGACGGACCCCAGATACGAAAAAGGTCTGGCTCAAAGCGGTGCAATCAAATTATATAAGGCTGTAATGAGCTTGACACAATTGGATTTCTGTATGCAGCTCTCAACACCCAGCACTCACCCAAAGCAATAAGAGCCACATCCTCTAATGACAAGGAACTTGCTTGAGTGTAGATATCTAGCTGGGGGCGTGGCTGGGGCAGGACTCCCAGGGAGAACGGCCCTGGACCTGAATGAGTGTTCTCTGCTCAGAGGGGAAGGATCGGGCGTACTTACCATCCTTTCTCCCCCAGTTCCCCTTTCATCTGTCCATCTAGAGGAGCTCTCTTCCTCGGACTTACAGGCACATCTTCCAGGTTCAAGTCCTAGCCTCTTCCTCGTATTTAGAAGCCAGGGAAGGGAGCTGAATTGTCCCCACAGGGTCGTGCTGTCCACAAGGGGACTTCTCGGGAACCAAGTACTCGACCCTTGTTTGCACTTGGAGGGGACACTTCCTCATGTTGGGGACACTTCCTCATGTTGGGGACACTGGGAGGGGACACTTCCTCATATTGGAGATACTTCTTCATGTTGGGGACACTTGGAGGGGACACTTCCTCATGTCAGGGGGCAGGTGACAAGAAATAGAAATTGCCACAATTCTCCAAGGACTCTTCTGCTCAGGGGCCTTCCGCATGGGCTTTCCCAGAGGCAAGGGGGGTCCCCTCTGTCCCAGGATGGGTCTGTGAGCTCCCATGGGCTCTCTCGCTTCCAGTAGCAAGGGCCTGGGGCCAGGCCCAGGTCTATAAGAGCCCAAACTTCTGGCTGTGTTATTTTAAACCAGCAGGAACCTCTCTACCATTCCCGTCTCCCTCTCTCCCAAAGGCTTCTTCCTCTTAGGCCTCACTCTGTGGTTGTGCTGCTGTCATGATGACGCCGACTGTGGCTGTTAGGAAGCAGGGCAGCCAGCCTTCGCGAGAGAGATGAGTCTGCATTGCGATACATGAGGCCTTCCTGTAGGAGGCCTGCTGACGGCTTCCAGTGGGGAGCTGGGAGTTTCAAGCCCAAGTGGTATATGGAAATTTGTTCCATCTTCCCCTCTCTCACACACACACATAGGGCCACCTTGTCACGGTCACATGCACCTACACTCACCCCCACGGACACAGATGACAAAATATGCATATACTGACACTCCCGTGCATGAATCCACTCTCAAAGACAGACATGCGATTGTAAATTCGTTTATTAACTTAAAAGCTGCTAGGTACTGGGGATGCATAAGTGAACAAGACAAAAAGTCCTGCCCTCATGGAGTTTACATTCTGGCAGTGGAGACAGACAGTATATCAGCATAAGTGTATAAAACTTATACCAGCTTAGTAATAAAGGCTAAAGAAAAAATAGAAAGCAGAGAGAGAGTTAAGTATCGAGGAGCACACATGCACTCCGTGCTTTGTAATAAAGGCTAAAGAAAAAATAGAAAGCAGAGAGTTAAGTATTGAGGGGCACACGTGAACTCCGTGCTTCGCTCATAATTAATCGATGTTTGGGCACCTGCTGTACGCAGGGAAGAGCCCTGGACCCTGGGAGAGAGTCAGGAGAGCTGTGACCCTCGCTCCTTGAAAGAGCTCACTGCCTAGTTAGAGATGAGAAATACACCGACACGACAGTGAGCAGATGAAGGTCATGAAACGTCTGGAAGGAAGGACTTTGGTAAGTGGTATTTCTCCTGCCAGGATGACACCCGGCTGGAGAGATGCATGGGAAACCCAGGAACTCTGCCGGTGACCGAGTGGCACAAGGCGGGTACACAGCATCTCAGGCCCGGTCCCAGGGTTTATAAGCAGAGACGGGCGGGGCTGGGAGCGAGCAGCTTCCTCCCCTGCGTCGAACATCACCTGCGCGCCCAGCCTCTCTGGGAGAGCCCACTGGCATCGACTTCTCCAGGCTTGCTGTCTTTAGACCTCACTCTTTGATTTTCTCTGCCCATCACAGAAGGCCCGCCTTGCCAGGATCCGCGTGGCCAAAACCGGCAGCTCCAACGCCTACCTGCACAGCAAGCGCAACGGGCTCCTCAACGAGGCGCTGGAGCTGATGGTAGGCACCCAGAGGACCTGGGCTGGGGAGGTGGAGGGCGAGATGGCCTCGTTTTCTCTTCCCGGGGCACCAGCACTCTCACCCCGAAGCCCCAGTCTGAACCCTGAGAACACCACGTTTCTAAACGTTCCCCAGGTAGCAGCGCCCCCTCCACATACCTCTCCCATGATTGTCACCGCCATCCCCAAACCAGCTTTAGATCAAGGGCCCCCAGCCCGAAGGCTAGCATGTTCCATGTTAACCCTAAAATTTGATTCACCCCTCTTTTTCTAGCGCCCTCCTACCTTCCGTGGAGACGTGACAGGGATGGAGAGAGGAAGAGCCACCCGCTCCATGCTCAGTCTCTCTTCTTTTCTTACCAGGGCACTCCGGAAGAGGGGCACATGGGCAAGGCCACTTCACTCATCGAGAGCCAGCACCATCACCTGCTGCACTGCCTGGAGAAAACCACTGTGAGTCCCAGCCCATCGCCACCTCCTCGCTCGGCCCTGGCCCTGGCCCCTTTCCGATGGTCGGGCTCACACAGTGAGAACTCTGCCCACACCTTCACCCTGGGCCCGGATTCAGAAGTCAAAGTCTGTCCTGTTCAGATCCAAAAAGTAGTGACGAGGTCTCTATCAACCCTCGGGGGGCGTACCAGCGTAGGGAGGCCAGCTCTGTCCCGCAGCAATATAGAGGAGGCCGTCCCCCTCAGCCTTTCCACGCCCCCCACACTAGTCCCCATTTCTTGGTGACTGAGGGCTAAGGGCTCTGTCGACCAGTTTCTCAGTCCCAATGGGCGTCGCTCTTCAAAACTAGGGCTGAATTCATACTAGAGTGCTACGGGACAGTAAAGAACACCGTTTTTTGTCCTATCCCTGGTGCTAGGTTGATGCAATTTGTGGGTCCCTTTGCTCTGTACGTTCCTCTTTAAACAGGAGACAGTGAGTGAAGGAGGCAGTGCACATATTTCACTAGCTGGGGATTTTATTATTACCCCTTCCTCTTAGTCACCTGCCATTCCCAGGGCGTTTGGATCCTGACGGGCTTGTTGTTAAAAGTCATGGTTTAGGGCGTCACCGTCGGAATGTGGAATGATGTCTGTGCCTCCGCAGCCAAAAGGAAGGGCAGCGGGGCCGACCGGGACCCTTGGCATGAAGTGTTGGGGAGAGTAGGGAGAGAGGAGCCGTCGGGGCGGACAACCAACGAGAGACGAAGTAAAACCTTGTTTCCTTCTAGAACCTTCTGCCCCAAAGAGCCTGTAGGGAGGGCTCAGCACACCGAGGAAGAACTTTCTAATTCTTAATGTTCCATATCTGGGCCTCCCAGATGCGGGGGGTCAGATGTTAGAGCCGCATGTGAGCACGCAGGAGCTCAGCTGTTGAACCCAGCGAGGACTTCCAAAACGGGAAGGGACTCTGAAAACCCTAGTCTCCCGGCTTATCAAGTATCTCTTAGTGTCAGGAACTGTATGTACACATCTCGGATTTCTCTCCAAGACTCAGAGCTTGCCAAAGGGATAGGCCTGGACCCAGCTGCCCATTCCAAGTCGCATGTGCTGGGTGGAATGTGTACACTGAAGAATATGGGTGAAAAGACCTGGGTTTGAAGGGCTGGAATGTTGGCCTTGAACAACGAGATCTGGAGATCGAGGGCTGGAATGCTGGCATCGAAGGGGTGGAATGCTGAATCCGAGGGGGAGAATGTCGGATTGTGGGGATGGGCTGTTGGGATGGAAGAGTTGGAATGCTGGATTTCAGGGGAGGAATGTGGGGCTAGAAGCAGCAGAATGCTGGGATGGACGGGATGAATGTTGGTTTGGAGGGGGGTGACGTTGG